GCGGGGGGCGCCCGACTCTGCCCTCTCGCGCCTGGCGGCGGTGGCGGTACGGTGCGTACCCCTTTAAGAAGGAGCCGGTCGAGCGCTGACGGTTGGGATTTGAAGTTCTTCCTCCCTGTTTGGAAGTCTGGACGGATGGGGGGGCGTTGCCATGGCGACGGCACCCTCCCTTCCCCTCTTTGCGGACGCCCCGAAGACTCCGGTCCTCTCTTGCTGCCTGGTGATGGACTCTCTCCCCTGCACGCAGACGCTCTTCGCCCTCCCCGCTGCTCATCCCCGTTCGGGTGCAAGGCTGTCTTCCTTTTTGGTGGTGACTGACTCGTTTTCCTTCAAACTTTTCGACTTGGGGCTTGGCTCATGCTGAGGGTTGTTCGGGGTGGCGGGAGGTGGTGGGACTCCCCGCCTTGCTTCGGTCTCCTCGCGCGCGCTTTTTCTCGGGGGAACCTCTGCCCAGAGCGCTCACCCCGCAGGCTGCTTGAGTGCGGCACTGAGGCGGGCGCGGGGTGGGTGTGCTGTGCGTGTCTGTTTTGGAAGGCGGCTGTGCTCGGGAAGGAGATTGTGCATTGTGCGAGGAGTGCTTGGTGGCATGGGCTTTTTCTACTGGCCAGAGAATCTTGGCATTGGGAGTTGGGGAGTAACCTTAGCGCCTTAAGGAAACAACTCTCTTTACCTTGTTTTCCTGTTCTTGGCGCCACCTCGCGCCCCTTCTCCCTGCCCCACCCCTCTCAGTTTTGTTTGGTTTGCGCCTTGAAGATTTTTCTTGTCTTCACCAGTAACAAGGATCCTGGTAGACTGAACTGGTAACAAGTTGCATTTGCAAATGTAACCTAACAAATATGATGAATAGAGGGAAAAGGGAGGATTGCTCTGATTAGGGGCATTTAAGTGATGTTTGTGCAATTTACTGTTTTACCTTTATAAAATGTATTTTGGCGTCCTCTAAGGAAAAGTATGGGAAAAGACTTTAGTTAAGTATTCATAAATTACTTTAGTTCATAAAGTTTTTTTTAAAAAGCTTCATGTATTCTTTATACTAGGTGTTTGGCATTTGTGCTTCTTGAACAAAAAATGGACCTATTTTTGTAATTTCTTAAGTGAAGATCTCTTCTGCAAAATCTGTTTAGAAATTGTTGTGTTCATTCAGATAGAATCAAGTAGATGAGAGCACTACAATACTGGCTCATGAGACTGTGGTAAGTTTTGCCAGGATACATAGTAATTTGAGGATGTCTGGTCTTTTGTTTTTGCTTTTGTTTTTTGAGTATTTTGAGCTTTGTTTTTCTTGTCTTGCTTATTTAGATATATTAGGTATAGCTTTGTATCGTGAAATATATTTGCTTTTGAAAAAGTCAAATTTTAATTAGATGAAACATAAAAGTAATTGGATTTGATGGAAAAAGGAACCAGATTATCTTTTTGTCTTACCTCCTTGGGTACTACTCAAGTAGTTTTTGACGATATTGAGAATTAAGTTTATACTGTATGTCTAATATGAAATGCATTATACTTTAACATAATACATAATTATATTGTACTCTACGAGAAAATACATTTTTCCTGAGTTTTAGCTATATCTGAGAATTGTTTCTTACAGTCCCAGTCAGAAGGCCTATTAAGATCCTCGCCATAAAAAAACACTTTAAACAGGGTATGCACTTGTTGATTGTGTGTGGGTTTTTTTTTTTTTTTTTTATGTCTTGTCATATTTATAGTGTGATTTGGAATTAAAGGTAGTTTGTATAGTTACTTTAAGTCACCTTCGTTATTAATATGCTTACATTCATACTTAATAAACATTTACAAAATAGCCATGTTCTTTTCCTTTCTCTTGGTGTTTCTATATATGTGAGTGTGTGTGTTTCTGTATTCACTGTTCAGTATTCTTACTGCATGGAATCATTTTTATAAAATAACAGGGTTCTTGCCCTTCTAGAAGCTAATGCAGCAAAGGCTTACTTTTAAGTGAGCTATAAAAATTGTAGGTAATGTCTTAGAATGGTACAGCAATTAGTACTGAGACCCTAGTAAAATTTTGTATCTCAGTTCTTAACTCTTTAATCTGATTCATGTTTTTATAATTTATACTCAAATTTTATAGAGAATGTTATTTTAGTTGTCAGTGATTGCTTATACTGTACTTAGTTGAAAAGTAAAAATATGCTATATAGAAAAAGCTGTTTACCTTCCTCATAATTGTAGAACCTATCTCAGATTTTTTACTACTTTTCTTTTTCATTCTTGGTTTTTGCTTTAATTGGGGAGTTGATCTACAAACTCTTTTTTCCAGTTTTGTAGCTCTGTTTAAAATGTAGTGCTTTTGGGGACCAGGGAGATGGCTCAGTAGAATAAACACTTGCCTGAGAAGCGCAAGGGCCTGAGTTCAATCTCTGGTTCTGACAGAAAAAAAAAAAAAAAACCAAACAAAAAACTAGTGCTTTTTATACTTTTGTTTTTTTGTAATCCTGAACTGTGCTGTAATTTTGAATGTGCTCATTTTACAACTATTTGATTGCTTATTGGATAGTAAATAATATCCTAGTACTCAAAATGATATTGAGCAGTAATAGATATAGTCCTGGATCTTACGGAAAATAAAATATAACTAGTATCTGATGAATCATAAAAATAAAGTTATAATAAAAGAAATATATTAGTGCATTTAAAAATGTCTGGCTTTCTATGACTTATTAGGAGAGAAAAGACTTTTTTTAAAGTAGTTTGATAGGCTAAGTTTTTAAAAATTTTATTTTGATGTAATTTTACCTTTCAAATATGAAAAAATAGTACAAGGAATTTCTGTATTTACCCGCATTCAGCATAATACACATTGTTTTATGTTTTGTTATACTTGCCTTATCATTCTTGCCCTATGTCCATATACATATTTCTGAACAACTTGAGAGTAATTGGGAGACATTCCTACCTCTTTACTGCTTTTTCAGTGTGTGCTTCCTAAAAATAAAAACATGGTTTTATCTAACCATTTAAGAAGATTAAAACCAGCAGATTGAGTATTGACATAATATTGCTATCTGATTTATAATCCATATTCAAATTTTGTCTTTATTTACTCCAAAATTTTCTCACCTACTCCTACCTAATTCATGATCCACTCTTAAGATTGTGCACTGCATTGGTCATCAGGTTTTTTTTTTAATTGCCAGTAATACTTCATTAGCCTTGCTTGCTTGCTTTTTTGTGTGTGTATTTTGCACAGGGTCTCATTCTGCAGCAGAGACTCCTAGTGATCCTCCTGTTTTCAGCCTCCCCAGCGCTGGGATTACAGGGGCACTACCACACCCAGACTTGGTCGCAGCTCAGTGGGCACAGGGGTGGGGCCAGCACAGCATATGGGACTGGAGATCAAACCTTGGTCCCTGTGCTTGCCAAAGCAGGCACTTAGTCCGCTGAGCTGTCTTACCGACTCTGACCCTTTTATTTCTTGACTTTGACTTTTTTGAAGAGTACATGACAATTAATTTGTAGGCTGTGCCTCAATTTGAGTTTATGTTCTCATAATTAGGTTGACTGTACACTTGGCAGGAATACTGCTTGAAGAGATACTATATTTTCAGTACATATCTTCAGACTCGTGACATTAGTTTGTCCCCATGATGTCAGCTTCAAAATTAAAGTGTAATTTCCCTTAAAGTTACTTACATCTTTGTAATTAATATGCAATTTATGGAAATGTACCTTGAAGAAAAGGATGTTGTCATAGTCTCATCCAAATTTGACCCACATTTTAGCATCCATTGATGATTGTCTAATTTTATTCTTTCTGTAGTTATTAGAAGTTAACATCTGTCATTTTCTCTACTATTTATTTGGTTATTCAATATTAAATCCAATATTGTCATTATTTGGAGTTTCAAATTATGTCAAGTTTGGGGCTGGGGAGCTAGCTCAGCAGCGTAAGTGCCTGCCTAGCAAGCACAAGGTCCTAAGTTCAGTCGCTGGTACAAAAAGTCAAGTTTGGTTGATGGGAACCTCATCAAGTGTGTGGGCTTTGTTTTTGTTTTGACAAAGCAAAATATTCCAGATTCATGTACTTTATGTGTCCCATATCTGATATCAGCTGTTTCTCCAAGATGACCTCCCTTTTTATTTTTTTTTTTTTTATTTTTTGCAGAACCGGGGATTGAACTCAGGCCCTTGCGCTTGCCAGGGAAGCGCTTATTCCACTGAGCCATCTCCCCAGCCCTTCCCTTCTTTTTAGTGGAAAATAAAATTTAGGCACAGTTATAGTTTAGATCTAAAATGTCTCCCAAAAGCCTCATATGTTCAGAGGAAAGGTTTTGGAAGGTAATAATATCATGGAGGGCTCTACTTATATTAATCCATAGTGAGTTTATGCTTGAGTGTGTTGTCATGACATGGGGCC